TGACTGCGCCACCCAGGCGCCCCGAGAGAGAGAATCTTAAACAGGCTCCATGCTCAGCACAGAGCCCGACTCAGGGCTTAATCCCACAACCCTGGGATCATGACCTAAGCCAAAATCAAGTTGGACACTCAACTGACAGAGCCACCCAGGCACCCCTGTTTTCCTCTATCCTTCAGTAAAGTCAAAAAATTGTTTATTATTGATCCTTTATCTATCTGGAGCTGATTTCTCATTTTCTTTAAAGGTGACTTGAGATGAGGCAGGGTGGTGAAGGATACTTAGTGAGGTGCAAGCAATTGTGAAGAGAAAGATTTCTAGAAGGAGCAAGTTGACAGTTGCCCTTTGTTGGTTTGCTAAAGGAGCTCTCGGCAAGACAGTAGAGAAAGTGGTGAAAAGGGAAGGTAGTCATTAGTAAAATGCCATTTTGCTCATTATAGTTTTAATGGTGCAAGGTTCACTTTTAGGGCAGATGTATGAAACCTGCCTGTCTTGTGATCCTTCCAGGGTTCACAGATTTCCGGAATTTACTTTTCTTTCAGTGTCATCTTCTTTCTCCTTCTTTTAAAATAAAACTTATTATACCAGGATTGTAAGAAACGATAAGAAACTGTGATTTCCAGTCACACCCATCACGTTTAATCACAGTATCTTCCTGGTTTTCAGAAATAACTTTGAAATCCATTTAAAATGTCAGTTGCTTTAGTGTAGTCAGTGTCGAAAGCAGGAAATGTGTAAAAGCCATGGGTCTTTTGCCTCCAATTTGATACTCTGTGTTGTGAGATTTGATTCCTTAGAAGTAAGTCTATGAAATTAGATGGTTGGCTATGGCAGAAAGTTGAGTACGTAAGAGAAAAAAACATAGGCCCTAAGGCTTGTTGACTGTTCATGTGTTCAGTTTGGGTGGGATATAAGAATAATGAAGTTTCTAAGGTAAAATAAGGGCCATAGGTTTTATTTGGGTCATTTTCCAAAATGTCTTTTGTATTAGCAAAATGTATTACCGTGCCATTAATAGCTAACGCTTGTATAATTACAGTTCGTTTTATTCATGCTCTGTCTCTCTCTGTCCGAAAAATAAATAAACGTTGAAAAAAAAAAAATTTAAAATCCATCTCCTGGGTTCCAGATCGTTCTCCACTCTTTGGTAGCAGTGTAACCTTCCGCACATTACTTACTTATTCTTTTTTTGGTTTGAGAGTCCTTACCTATAAAATAAGAATTAAAACTATCTATAGAGTAGTTACGAGGATTTAAAATTGGCATTTATATTTAGCACAATGCCTGGAATACATAAAGTCCCCCTGAATTGCAGCTCTCGTCATTGCTTCCCTACATTGTGCTAAGTTTCCAAGTCAGCATTAGCTTCGTCCTTTAGCTGTGATTGAAGCGCGTTGGCGTTTACATTCCATGTCCTACCTACCTTGAGGGTGAGCTGGAGAATGAAAGAGTAGACACTGTGATCCTCTAGTAGCTAAGGATGTGCAAAGGTTCTCGGAGAAGAAGGGCTGTTGAACTAGTTCAGACCATATTCTTTTTTTTTTTTTTTTTTTTTTTTTTTTTTTTTTCAACGTTTATTTATTTTGGGGACAGAGAGAGACAGAGCATGAACGGGGGAGGGGCAGAGAGAGAGGGAGACACAGAATCGGAAACAGGCTCCAGGCTCTGAGCCATCAGCCCAGAGCCTGACGCGGGGCTCGAACTCACGGACCGCGAGATCGTGACCTGGCTGAAGTCGGACGCTTAACCGACTGCGCCACCCAGGCGCCCCCAGACCATATTCTTAAAACCAAACATAATGGGAAATGATGTTTGATTGGAAATAATCCCTGTTTTCACTTGTCATTATGACAGGATCAGGCTTTTTCATAGGTTACAATATAAAATGCAACACTGAGACTCTGAGGTAAGAATCCTTCAGGTAATTCACTAAGAAGACACCCCCCCTCCACGCCCCAAGATGAAAACAGTGGCTTAGAGCCAACTTTAGGGAAAATAAATAATGCAGAATGAAAGAAAGCACAGCTTAACTTCCTCTATCCTGGTCACTCGACGACATACGATAAAATCTCACATCACTTAAACAGAAGAGTCTGAAAGGTCAAAAGGTAACTTTAGATTTTGAATGAAAAGTTTTGAAAGAAATTAAAACGAGTGGGTCGAGTGGGTCATCGCAGTCCAAATGATTTTAAGTGGAATGCTATTTTATGTCCATGAGATATGCTCATTGTTTTAATTTGGTTGTTTTAAGTGGGTTCCACATCACCATTGTTTTTATCAACGGTGTCTTCAAAGGTAAAGTCAGGCCTCAGCCAGGCTATTTGAGTTGCTCTTGATTTTCGGATTAACTGTGGTTGTTGTTGTTTTAAAATAAAAATGTTACAGTCTTTGGTAAACAGCTCTTTAGAGTGCTGTCAGAAGCAGAAGTTCATGTGGAAAGAGCTATTGATTGCTGATGGCTTTTTTGACATGATAATAATCGAATCAACTGGAAAGTCTTGAGGATCTGCTGTGAATGACCTCCTTGCTGGTGATGAATATTCAAGCACTTTCAAAAATCCAGCTCCAAAGTCCCCTGCGTCTGAGGACAGCCACAAGTACTCCTGTTCTTTGGATTCTGGTAGCATTGTTTGCACCTCTCTTTGTAGTTCTAAATTGGGCCTTGCAACATCATTATTTGTTTTTTTCTCTTCCCTAATAAAATAGAAGTGCCTTAGGACACAGACTGTTAGCCATTCAGATAAGCTCCACAGGTAATTTATCAACAGATGAATTATTGAATATCCATAATGCCCAAAGCCCTGTGCCTTAGGTCTACAAACAGGAGACTTACACAACTCTTGTCCTTGTCGTTTTATTCTGCATAGTGCCTCGTCTCCTCCTTGACTTTTTTTCTCTCCTTTTCCGAGATGCCCTCTTTTCCCTCCAACTTCTCTTGCCGCGACTTCACAGTGTGTTTTGTTCCTTCCTCGAGTAGACTTCTGAGTGATGGAGGTGCCTGAGGCGTGTTCCTGAACTCTTCTGTTTTCAATACGCACTCTCTCTAGGGGCTCTCATTAATTCTCATGCATTTAAAGTATCATCTTTATGTCAGTGACTTTCAATTTTATATCTCTGGTCCAGACACTTCTGAACATCCAGCCTCCATATTCTAATCGCCTTTGAAGTTTCATGGGTATCGGAAAATTAAACGTGTTAAAAAACACCCTCGGTCCTACCCCAGGATCTGGTCCCACCCTCCAGGAAGGCACCTTCGTGCACCCACCTGGCCAGTAAAACTCCTGGCAGTGATCTTGGGCACATCTTCTCTTTCACCCTGCACATGAGTCCATCACCAAGTCCTGTTGAGTCTGCCTCCCAATATATTCTTCCTCTGGGCTCTACCCTCTATACACTGCTCAAAGGCCAGCCGGCGGTGCAGGTAGAACGGCCCCTTTTGGCCCCGCTGGTCCAATCACTTGAGTCATCACGGCGGTTTCTTAAAAATCATAAAGCAGATCATGCTTTAAAATTCCTCCTCAGCTCTCATTGTTCTTAAGGTTTAGAAATCTTCCCCATAGCTTCACGACTCTACAATAAGGCTTTCATTTCCAGTCCCATCTCATGCTACGCAACACTTCCGTAATTCAGCAAATGGTAACGTCCTTTAAATCCCAAATTTGCCAAGTACCCTCCTCCCACATTTAGGATTTGTCCGTGAGCCCTACCTTTTGAGGACCCCCTTTACGAAACTAAGCCCCACCGACCCGCTCTGCTTAACCGGCCTTTCACACACAGGCTCCAACCAGCTCCTCACTAAATCAGGTCCTGTCATTCTTTTTTATCCTGAAGTATCCTGAACCCTTCCTTTATGTCCCCGTGGTAATTGGTAAGACTTAGGTCATTAGATGATTATTTGCCCAACATCTGGCTCCCCTGTTGTTCTGTAGGACCCATGAAGGCAAAGGTCTCGTCTGCTTTAGTCACACTTCAGACCCACTACCTGACATGGTGGAAAGTCAGTAAATATTTGTGGAACGGATAGACCGAAGAGGAAATAATAGTTCAAAAGCGCGTGGAAATACTGTGTAACAGAATGTGCTTAAAACTTAAGGCTATAATACGGAAATAAATTTCTGACAGCCCCGTGAAGACCTTTAGTTTGTGATGAAGCCAGGCTTCTGCTCTTTTTTTTGACCTATCACATCTTAGCATTGTCATTACCAAGAATATATGGGACCACAGGAAAAAAATATATATCTTGCATCAGTTTGATGGCAAATGTGTATCGATCACACATTTTTTGTCCTTGTCGTTTTATTTCTCATGGGGCCTGGTACTTTTCTAGAAGTTTGGGATCTAGCTGGTGCGATATATGTCCCCTGGGGGACAGACAGTAAGCAAGAACACAGAAAATGTGAGTGCTTGAGAAATACTATGAACTAAAGAGAACAGAGTGATGGCATGGGTGGGATGGTTAGAGAAGTCCTATTTGAGTGAAAAGGCGACCTGGGAGCCGAGGCCTGAGTGACAAGAGTCAAGCCTTCCAGCCGGAGGGAACGGCATGTGGCAGAAGTACATGTGGAAAGAGCTATTGATTGCTGAGGCAGGTACTGCCTGTTGCGTTTGAGAAATGGAGCGATGGCCAGTGGTCCCGGAGCAGAGAGAAGAGCAGAGAAGGAGGAGTACACGCTTTTGGGGGTAGAGAAGCCGGGGTTTCAAGTTCTGACTCTCCCCTTCCTGGTTATCGATCACAACAAAATGGAGGCAATCATGACGCCAGCTCGTAGGCAATGTTGCTAAATAAGACGGTGAGGGTAAATGTTAGTAATAATGCACATCATTGATAATTTAAACATCATTAACCTACCTTCCACAGAACTTCTGTCCAGGGAAAGCCGGTAGCCTGAATGTTAAACTAATGGCTGTGTTTGTGTGTTTAATAGCTTGCTAATAGACAGTCTTTTAAAACGGCGTTGCTACTTATTTACAAACGTTCATATTTACATTGATGTCTCCAAAAGGTTAAAAAGCTGAAGAGAGAACTCTCACAGATGAAGCAGGAATTGCTCTATAAAGAACAAGGCTTTGAGACATTGCAACAGTGAGTATAAAAATACTGAAATTCACTTTAGAATAATTGAAAGCCCCCTAACTAATACAAAGAAAATAGAAGTACATTGGGGCGCCTGGGTGGCTCGGTCGGTTGGGTGTCCGACTGCGGCTCAGGTCATGATCTCGCAGTTTGTGAGTTCGAGCCCCGCGTCGGGCTCTGTGCTGACAGCTCGGAGCCTGGAGCCTGCTTCCGATTCTGTGTCTCCCTCGCTCTCTGCCCCTCCCTCGCTTGCACTCAGTCTCTCTCTATCTCAAAAAACATTAAAAAAAAAAAAAGAAAATAGAAGTACAGATTACATAAGAGATTTCTCCAAGAAACATGAAGTAAAAAGCTCAGAGCTCTGCACCAGAAACCAAAGAAAACCAGTCAACCAACAAAAAAACGTGGGGGAAATCTGTACACGTTGAAGAGGTCTGAAGTTTTATCCGTCATCGGAGATCCAAAGAAACCAGTGGGAATGTTAACTTTGTGTCCCGGGCACCTGCCAGCCTGCTCTGAATTTGAGGTATGGGACCAAGGGACGAGGCACAGGAAGTGCCTCCACATTGGGCTCCTGCGGCTGAACAAGGTGAGCCTCTGCTGCCCTGAGCCCGGGGTTGATCTCAGGGAGCAAGTCAGGTTGTCCGCGAGGAGCTTGAGTGAGTTCCTCATTTCCTGTATCCCTTCTGTCCTTTCCAGTTCTGTAGTCAAGTCTGAAAGGCTGGGCCAAGTTAAGGGAAATAGGGCTGACAGAGGGCAGCAGAACCTGGGATCTCCCGCCCCATTCCCGGCCCCCAGAAGCCACTGTTCTCCCTGCTGACGAGGTGCGGCCCAGCTAAAGCCCGGCAGGCACACCGAACTTTCCAGCCCTCCCGATCCTACCACCGGGTCTCTGATGCGAGGCAAGAAGCTGATGGTTTTCACAGCCACATGACTGCAGAGAGGATTAAAGGCATGATCCCTCAAAAGGCATTTAACTGTTTTTTACTTCCCTCCTCTGTGTACAGGGCCCTCTGCCAACCGCGGAGCAGGGTTTACAGAGAGAGTCCCTGATTGCCTGCTTGTTCCTCCCCCGCCCTCCCCTCTGTAGCCACCCAAGGCAGATGGCATCACCCCTTTGAAAGATCCTGTATATTTGTTGGCCAGACAAACCACAAGCTGGGTGTTCTGTGTGTTTGCATGATGAGTTATACGTCAGGACGCCAGTCATGACTCTTGACCACCAGTCCCGTGACTTTGGCTTCAGAGACTGGTTTTATGGCTCAGTCTTCTTTTTGGCCACTCACTCATGTCATCATAACCATTTTATTCTTCCAGATGCTCCTGTCCTAGTGGTTTTCAAACCTGACTGCGTATCAGAATAATCTGTTTAAAAAAAAACAACCTATTTTTGGTCTCCATCTAGGTATATTTTATGAGATCCCCAGGTGGTTCTCAAGTATAGCTGTGTTCTAAAAACCTCAGCAGACTGCAGAGCCCCCCCCCCTTCAAAACTGAGCAGATCTAGAATGCCACAGATGTGATATTTAGTAAATTGCATATCAACATAAAGGAGGGCTTTGTGGTGCCAGTGGAGAGAGGACACAAACTTTGAAGAGTGCCACAAAACGTTTAGCTATACGGTAAACATTCTTAAGGCACATGAAATTCTAACTCATGTCACCACCCGGGATTAAAGGTTAGCCAAACTTTGCTGTTTTTGTTATATTGATATAACAATGCTGTATTGTTTTAAAGCAGTTTGCTTGCAAGCAATTTTTATAGGAATCTAAGGCATGTTTAAGAATCTGTCAATAACATTCCACAAGAAAACAATAGACATCTGTTGTAGAAATCCAGGCATTCTCTTGCAATGATTCTAAGCCCTTGAACCAAAGGCAGAAAGATACGATATCTAACATCAGAGACCTCTCTTGTTGATCCTAACTATAGACAAAATAAAGCTGTTTTCATTCAGATGTTAACTACCATACTACTAGAACATTGGATAAAAATTGATTGAACCCAGAGACCATACTTTCCAAGAAACCACATTCCTGATACTATAAAGGAGCTTTTACTTGGGGTTTTGACAGAAAATATATTTCAGGAAAAGATGTAAATAGAATCCTACTGCATGCTTTACCACCTCTCATTTATTCACGATAGAGTGGAATATTTTTGCCAAATCTGGGGCTATAATATAATTTAAACTCAGGCTTTCATTTTACTGGGTACAGTAGTTTATGCTGGATGAATGAATGTAGCTTTATTCTTTACATTATTCATTTCAGTCTGTGGTCCCAAAGTTGACTTTGGCCTCGGCAATAGCAGAGCTTATGTGTAGATGGACATGTCTACTTTGCCACCTGCAGCATCCACTCAAATGTGGAAAATGAGAAGGGAAGGGTGAAGCACTGAGCAAGCCAAAAGTATATACCTATTCTGTGAAAATTTGGCTCAGGGGGTACATATTTGCCAGGGAAGGTGTGCAAATGGGACTCTCTTATCTTTCGGGAGAGACGAAGACATAGGGGAAATTAATAACGGTGCACAGAAAAAAAACAAAAGGAAAACGTTTGTTTTTTATTTTTTTTAGGGAAGAATATAAAAAGGCATTTCTCAAATCAAGAACAAAAAACACCGTAGTTTGTCTTAAAGATCAGCAAATAACGCCCATATTTTGTTTGATTTTTGTTTGGTTTTGTTTTATGGTCGGTTAGGGTCGAAAAAGAGAGAAGAGGTGGGAGACGCAGAGTTGAGGAGAAAAAGAGGAAGAGGAACAGTTAGAGGAGAACGGAGGTGTTCAAAGGAGGAGGAAGAAGGGAGAGAAAGCCCAGAAGGAGCTCCGCGGTGGGCGCTGAGTTGAGATGGCCTGTCCTCGTCGTGTTTAGCACCCAACTGAGCAAGCAGTGGGCAGCCAGGAGATTTTTGTCTAGTTCTGAAGCTCTCTGAAATGTAAATGAGCAGGCTTGAAGTAGTCCTGCCTTTATTTTTAAGTGTTAGAGTTAATTTCTGAGAACGGCTCACCTACTTTTTTTGTTTTCAGATGTTAAAGTTGATTTGTGACTTCAAGACCTGTTTTGCTGTTAGATTCTGAAGGTTTTTCACAAATAGAAAGAAATCACTTGGGCTTTAGAAATTCCCTTTGACACAGTTTAAGAGTCCTGTGTTAGTAGCTACTTCATGAAATCTGAGGGCTTTGTGGGTTTTTTTTTAATTAAAATAAGTTTTTTTGCCTCAACTACTCAGTTGGTAGATACAGTACTTAAGGGAGCCAACAATTTCCCTGATGAATCCTTTCCCAGAGAAATGGAATTCGCCAATATTCAAAGTACCCCCAGTGATTTTTATCGAATATTCCAAGTGTAATAGGAGAGCCCTAAGCCCGAGTCTGTCCTTTTGAGGATTATGCCCCGACTAGCTAAGTGTTTATGCAATCTCAAGGCTAACGTCGGGTAAACTTCCTGGTCTTACTTTTTCTACTTGGAGGAAGTGTGACTAATAGATCTCTAGGGTCCCTTCCCACCCTAAACACTGTGTGCGTGCGCACGCGGCTGTTTAATTCAGTGATGCCATTGGTTGTACTGTATTATCGAACAACCTGATGATGAAATTTATTTGATCTTAGGTTAAGACTGTTCGGCAATCAAATACTAAAACACTACTTGGGGAAGTAGGTTATCTACAAACTGCACTTGCTCGAGTCAACTTTGGAAGAGTAAGATGGCATCATTGGTGGGTGGTTGTTTGGTTTTTGTTTTGTTTTTTCAGATTAGTCCCTTCACACTGACATAAATGTCCATCATTACATGTTTTAAACTGAACGGGTGCAGAGCCAGTTTTCTGTGGCTTCATGGATGCCATTTCTCTGTGGACAAGACTAAGAATTATGTCCAAGAGTGAGAGCTCTTGGCCAGTGGGGCAGAATCATAGCCGTATGTTCTTCAAGTGAACCCTGAATTGTATTCAAAATGAATGCCGGGCAGCATCAGTGGCTGGAGAGTGATAGTGAGGGTCCTGTTAAACCATTTTTTTTTTAACGTTTACTTATTTTTGAGACAGAGAGAGAGACAGAGCATGAACAGGGGAGGGGCAGAGAGAGAGGGAGACACAGAATCTGAAACAGACTCCAGGCTCCGAGTCAGCAGCACAGCGCCCGACGCGGGGCTCGAACTCACGGACCGCGAGGTCATGACCTGAGCCGAAGTCGGACGCTTAACTGACTGAGCCACCCAGGCCGCCCCTGCCACTTTTTTTTTTTTTTTTTTAAGAATTAGGTAATTTGGTTGGGCCCTTCATGCACAAAGAATTAGGTTACTTGAAACCCCCTGACATAGGGTGACCATGCAAACTGTAAGGACATTTGGTGAGCAGATCTGCAGGGGTGACGGATGAGCTGGTGGAAGAACTCTTTATTCAACGTTAGCACCTCTGCTCTTCTGCCTGGTTCCTAGATTTGAACTCGTCCGCAAGGCAAGCAGTTTTACCTCGACTCATAACGGCCATAAAACAGAAGGAGCACTTTTCACGTATTTGAAAACCAACAGGAAACTAACCACACGATCCAAATATGTAGGATTCTCACTGGTATAAATAATAATCACTCCCGTTTACGCATCGCCCACCAGCTCCTAGGCACCGTACTTGGTTTTGCACAGACATCAGGGCATGTAAGATGAGGCGACAGTGAGGGATCTGCACTTCCTGTAGTTGTTCAGTTTATTGGCACCTCTGTCCTGCTAAATCCTTTCCTGGTGGCCTTAACCTGTCTCAGGGTGGAGGTCGGATTAGCGTGAGGAGGTTTGAATTCAGCCAGTGGAAGGATCGCCCAAACTGACTCAAGACAAAATGACTGAGCTTGAAAATGTTGAGAAACGGACTGGGCGTGAGGTGGGCGATGGGGGAGTGTGAGCTAGGAGTGGTTGGAAGAGAATGGGAGAACAGTCGGCTTGAAAGCACGATGTCGGTATGTGGGAAGAAAGTTGCAAAGTCACCAGCCAACTACGATCGTCCAAAAACCAGCTCCTGCTGTTTGTGTAACTTGTATTCTGTCAACAGTCTTTAACATTTTTCTTTTTTCTTTCTTTCTTTCTTTCTTTCTTTCTTTCTTTCTTTCTTTCTTTCTTTCTTTCTTTCTTTCTTTTCTTTCCTCCCTCTTTCTTTCTTTCTTTCTTTCTTCCCTCTTTCTTTCTTTCTTTCTTC